CTTCTCCTCTCCTCCTCTCTCTCTCTCCTCCTCCTCTCTCTCTCTCTCTCTCTCTCCCCCCTCTCTCTCTCTCTCTCTCTCTCTCTCTCTTCTCTCTCTCTCTCTCTCTCCTCTCCTCTTCCTCTCTCTTCTCTCTCTCCCTCTCTCCTCCTCCTCTCTCTCTCTCTCTCTCTCTCTCTCCTCTCCTTCTCTCTCTCTCTCTCTCTCCTTCCCTTGACCTTCGCCGCTTGGTATGAAGTTCGCCGACCTTTGCGAGCGCACTAGCGATGCAGTATAGATATGGGTCGTTCGCGAAAAGTTACCAGCATCGGTGAGCGCGGTTAGTCTCCACGGAGTTGTCGCTGCAATTTGCCGGTGGTATTTCTTGTTGTATAACATGTGGCATTTTCGTACAAGACCACCTAGCAGTCCGTATTAATAGGTGCTCGTCGTTCCAATGTCATCGAAGTTTCTGTATCGCCACTGTCCCCCCAACTCTGTCGCTGGTGGGTTGCTATCGAGACCAGCGTCTAACTTGGCCTGCTACGTGGCGCCCAGCCAGTGCCACCGTCGACGTGGCCGGGACGCCGGAGTCCGACAGAGTGGACCGACCAGGCGACGCCACCCCAGACGTCGCGGTCCGCGGACCGGACCAGCGGGAACGGTCCGGTCCGCTCCGGCCAGTCGAGAGCCGGCTGGAATGTGGGGTCCAGGCCCCCTCCCCCTCCCACCTGCACCCCTGCCGGGCTGGAAACGGTCGGCGACATGGACCTTGCGTGGGGCCGGGCGGGTGTGTATTACGTCCAATATGCATCCGGTCGTTTTTTACGGGGCTCCGGAATATGATACGGGGTATGGTCGGTGATGACATAGCTGGCGGACATTAAGCAAACATGGCCCCCGGCACGAAATGCTTTTAAAGTAAAGACTTTTAAAGTGAGGACTTTGTTTTGTTGCAACACGCCGCGCCCGTGCGTGACAGATAGCTGGATCTGATTCGCTAAGGATTTGCCAACACATGCTGAGGAAAGGAGCTTGCTGAGGAAATGAATGAACGTTCCTGCAGTACTAATCGGGATTGAAAGCGGAGCGAGGGAGGTGTGCTGCCAAGCCGCCGCTGGCGACAGGCTGCCGGCCGGCTCGTCTCAGGGTGTCTCCGGGTGTGTAAACAAGACCGGTGATGATCGCGCTCTCCTTGGCGGCTCAGCCGGCCCGGGCAGGCGACAACTTTCGGGCGCCATCACTGACTGCGGCGGCTAACTTTTCTGTTTACCCGGAAGACATGCCGGCGCGGGGACCGCGCGGGTGGCGCGCCCGGTCGAGCCGTGGCCGCGTTTCATTACGCACGAGCGGCGTCCCATATTTCACGCACGGGGCCGGCCGGGACGACGGCAGGCCTGTCGGTGGGCTCTCGCGCCGCGGGACGCCCATTAGACGGTCCGTGTTTACCCAGGAATGTCTAATACACGTTTTAAAAACTCGTAAAATCGGTCCGCCGGCGAAGTCTTGATCGGCTGTGCTGGCAGGTCGGCCGTCGCCGGCGACGACGGCCCTCCGGAGGGGGGCGGGCGGCGACAAAAAGCGGCGCCCCCGTCGGCGGACGCCGCGCGGAAGGGGAGCGCCGGCGCCGATGCCGAGCGGTGGTCACGCACCGCGGCCGGTCGGCCGTGCCGCTGATTTATGCGGCCCGCCTTATTGCTGTGGTCACGTACCGTGCCGCGGCCCCGTATTTATGTACGCCGCCGGGATGGGCGCGGAGGAGAGTCGACTCGAGCCGCGGCCGGCGGGCCGGCGGGCTCTGGGGACCCGGGCGAGAGCTGTCTTGTCAGCCGCCCGACGCTCCCAATCAATAGCTCCCTCCGTCCGCGAGCACGCCCAAGACGTGCGGAAATTTGAAACGTCATTATTCACTGTTTTGATCGCGACCGTGCCAAACTGAATCGACAATGAAGCGAATGCGACCGACCTCATTAAGACTTTTAATTTTTCTTTGCAGACTGCGCAAGATGTGTGTGGCGCGGCGCCGTGCTGCCCTGGCGACGCTGCTCCTGGCCGTGCTGGCGTCTACCTGCTCCGCCGAAGGTAAGTGGCTGCCCGCTGAACGGCCGCCCCGCAATCGGTGCAGCCTTCCCGCCGAGCGCCCCGCCGCCCTAAGCTGCCCTGCCACAGACAAACCGCACGGCCCATTGCCAGGTGCCGCGACACGGCCGTTTCCTTTATGAGCGTAATCCCGGCTTCCCTGCCAGCGGCTCATTTGGCGCGCCGTTTCCGCGCCAAACGACGGCCGTGCAGGACACGCGGCTGCGGCGCCCGCCATTGTGAAACCGGAGCCGCCGTTAATTTTCTGCAGCGTTGCCTCGCATAATCTGACGGCGCGTCGCCAGCCGATTGATGGCCGGGCTGCGTGACGGCTGCGTGCTTTTTCCGGGGTCGTGTCGCACCTCCCTCTCCGAACGTAGCGACCGGGCGGCCAGCGCGGCCGTGGCCGACCGGGGTGCCCTGGAGCTGACGCCGCCGGCCGGGGCGTGCTCGGAGCTGGTGCCGCCGGCTGGAGTCGACTCTGGTTGCGCGCCGCGCCCTCTCAGGTCAGGCCGACTGCGCCGGCGCCTGTCGGCCGGCCGGGCGGGGCTGATGTACGGCCGCTCGGGTGTCGTCCCTGTGGGCGGTGCGGCGTCCGACCGGCCGCCGTCTGGCCGCCGCTGAATTGGCCCCGATCTCCGGCGACGCCGCCGGCCCAGGGTCGCGTGTTGTACCGCCGGCCGTCGGCGGATCCGCCCAGCCGCTCCAGCGCACCTGGTGACGGTGCATGGCCGGTAATTAATGGCGCGAACGGCAGTGACCCCACCGACCCGCCGCCGACTCCGCCTACTGTTCCACCACAGTTATTGGCCCAGCTCACAATAATCAGCATAATTTGGCGATTTGTATCAGTGGAGATGTCTTCATCGGAGGTGCAGAGCTGGCGGCCGTCGAGGCGGCTGTCTGGCGGCGGACGTGACGTGGCAGGAGTCGCCCTCCGGCCGGTCGGCGGTGCGTGCACTGCACGCCTCTGAGGGGTCGGAAGTGGGTGCGCTCCGCGTCCAGACCGCGCCGTAATAGGTCCGGCCGCCGGGCCGTCCGTTATTAATAGACAAGGAATGATTTTGCCATTTGACTACGGGCGTGTTCTGGTGTTACTCGGGACCATTAGATCTACTGTTCTAAGCCTGCGGGTGACCGGCCGACCGGGCGCCCATAGAGCTCACTTTCCAGTGTGCCGGCCGCCCGCTCGCCCCGCTGCTTTGAACGGCGGCCGGCGGGCGCGGCGGCCGCGAATCTCGGCCGTGCGGCGTGTTTTTACGGACTGTTATTAGGCGGCCGGCAAACATCTCATTCTGGGCTGCTGGCCGGCGCTGGCCGGCGCTGCGCTGGGCGGCCGGGCGAGGCCGGCGCCCGCTGGGCCGGACAATGCCTCTCGTCGTGCACGACCGGAGCACCATGACTGCCGGCCGACCGTGATGCGGGCGCGGCGGCGGCGGCGGCGTGGCCATGATCACCGCCTGTGCGTGCGCACCGCGCCGGCGGCCTCTCGCGCGCCGTAATTGTGCCCCTTTGGTGCGCCATTAGCGCCGCTGATAGTGGGGCCGCCGCTGTGTCACTGCCGCGGCGCGGCGTCGAGAGAGGCGGCCGTAGCGCCCGACAGCGCGCCGATCTGACCCTTGCCGACACGCTGTTTTTACGCGGTCGGCCGGGCCACCTGTACGGACAGGCGGGGCCGCGAGCCGACCAGAGCACCAGATGGCGCCCGCGCGCGCCAGGACAGGCCCGGACAGCACAAAAACGCGGTGCGCGCGCGGCGATTTGATGTATTACAAATGGGGTACAACATTGTTTTACAGAATGGCGCGGATCACGCTACGTTCCGGCCGGCGGCGCGGCGGTGTGTGGCCTGCTCGGTGTGGGTCCGGCCGCTGTGGTGTGCGGTCTGCTCGGTGTGGCTCCGGCCGCGGTGGGGTATGGATCGGATCTCGGGGCGTTCGGTGGCCCCGACGACCAAGCGACCGTCGCGCCTCTCGCCGCCGGCGCGTCATGTTTCGTCTCAATCAGCGGAAGACTCCGGGGTTAGCCGTGAATCGAATCAATTAAGAAGGCTCGACGATGGGCGGCGCGGGCGGCTGCTGGCTAGCCGCTGTAGGAGAGAGACGGGGGGGGGGGGCATCAGCATGCAGGCGCCGCGGCCGGCCGGGCACGCCCCGATGAGGCACTGCTGATGACGGCACCCCTGTCGGCGGCCGGCGCCGGCAGATGCGCAGGCCGTCTCCCCGACTTTCCCGCAGTGACTTCACCGTCGGATGACTTCGCCGTCTGGCGCGGCCCGTCCCGGCCGGTCCACCCCGTCTCCAAACACGCGCCCGAGGCCGCGTCTCAGTCGCCGACCTCGGGCCGGTCCCGAGAGCGGGCCGTCTGACCTCTGGCGCGCGCCGTCGACCTGACCTCCCGGCCGCCCGCCCGCTCGTGGGAGAGCGCGCTCGCCGCCCTCCAATCAATTAACAGACGGCATAAATTGGTGCCGGCTGCGCACGGGGCCGCGCGGGGCGAGGCGAGGCGAGGCGACGCCCCGGAGACGCTCGACGACGCCAGCTCGATATCGCACCGTTACTCGACACGGATGACGTTCGATTTCCGCCGCCGGCGCTGGCCGCCGGGCCCGACGGAAAACAAAAGCATAAGTTAGCGGCGCTGCTGATGGCCGCCGGCTGACGGCGGATGGCGCGCCAGCGGCTGATCCGGCGCGGCCGATGGCCCTGCGCGCCGCCGCTCGCACCCGTGTTTACTGAGGGCGCCTCCCGCCGCGCGCCGGCCGGATTGAAAAACGTCTCGTTTGTGCGGGCCGCGGCCGCACTGGTGAGCCAGCGCCGATGGAGCGGCGTCGGTTTATTTGTTTCCAGATCGGGGCCCCCGCTGTTCCTGTAATCCCGGTAATTCCTTGGCCGGCTCTCGACTATTGAAGAGCCGGCGGAAAACAGACGGCGTCGGGCGGCTCATTCTCCCCTCGCTCCGTCTCGCGAACACCGCCTGCTTTATCGGCGACGGCCGCCGTAAATTGGGATACATCTGGGTCGAACTAATTGAAAGCCGGCCCCTTGATGGCGCAATATCCTGGTCTTGCCCACCGCGCGGTCGCTCACGATACCCCAGACGGGTGTTCGCGGGGTTTAAAAATTCATCACCAGGGCTGCTCCGGTGCTCGATCGTCGCTGGCCGGCCCCGACGAGCCGGCGGTCACGTCGGCCGTGGCGAGGCGCTCCCGTGTCGCCGTCGCCGCCGCCAGACCGGAGCGCCGGCGGCAGACAAATGACTACTCGGCCGACTAAAATACGAACCCTTAGTGGACGCGGTACACTATTTGTTTCGCGGCGGCAGTTTTTGCGCGTCAGAGCGCCGACGGGGGGAGGGGGAGGGGGGGGGGAACTAACTACCCGCCTGGGTGAGGGCTTCGAGAGGGCCGAACGGCGGCGGGAGGGGCGCGGCGGCGACGACAGGTCGCTGCCGCCGCTGCCGCCTTCTCAACTGATTACAAAAAACGCGCCCCGCTGACTGCGCTTCCCCGATTCATTACTCATTGTCGGCGGCGGCAAAACAGCGGCAGGAAGTGGGCACCGATCGCCCGTCGTCGGCGACGCGCGCCGGCGCCGGCGGCGCGGACAACGGGCGCCTGTCGCCGGCGCGCGCGGCGCGCGGCCCCGGTATACTTGGCGGTCGGGGTCCGGCGCGGCACAGGGGCGTCGTGTGCCCGGCGCGTGACGGGCCCGCCGCATCCGGCCATCACTGCGCGCCGCCTAAGACGAATAGGTCGGCTGAAGTCAGCGGCGCTGTTGTGACGTCATCGGGGGGGGGGGCGGGGGGGGGCTGCTGCCGCCGCGGCTCGTGTGCAGGTGGCGTTCCAGCCGAGCTGGAGCGGCGCCCGCTCAGGCCGCGCCCGGCCGTAAGCGATGGCTCAAACCGTCTCGTTAATAACACGGGTAAACTCGCTCTTTTGCCGGTTTGTACGTACACCATCTGATACGGGCTTCGACATAAATTCCGACCCTCATCGCACTTGCATTTCGTGTCCTTGGCAGCTTTCTAAAGCTGTGCCAACTGGCAAACCACTCCTGGCTGCAATTTGCATATGAAAACACATGTGCACGGCGTGTAACATAAGCACCCTTGTAGCGCCGTTTAGGGGCGGTTCATGACCTCTTCCGTTGGGCTAATTAGCGATTCTCGTCTATTCGGGTTTCCTCACTTGGTTCGAATCACATCGCGATACATCATCCCGTGTCCGTCGAAATGTTTTACATAATTTATATAAACTAGAATCATTCTTCATAACATGGATGACCTGTCAAATTCGACACTCACTTAACCCAAGGCAATTTATAAGCCGGCGCGAGGTGCGAGTCGCGCTCACGGAGCGGTCCATTGTGCCATTCCCAGGGGGCGGCCCTATCGCCGGCATGGTATCGGCCGATCGCGGCGAGCTCCGCTGCAGTGTAAACAGGACGCGGGCGGTATCCGCCCGGTCGCTGCGGCCCGGCCGCCGCTAGTTATTCCTGTCACCCGGACATCTTCGCTTTATCAGCCCACATCGTCACCGAGGCGACCAGAAGGGCCATTTAGCGCTGCGGCCGCATACCATCCTCGTCCTTACGCCTCATCATCCCTTCGCACATACCAGCGTTCGGAGACTATAATTTCCCGGCCTCTCCATAATTCATAGCGTTAATAATTATTCCCGTGTGACGCATAGCATCTCAAGATTGTTCTCGGTGTGGGCAAACAATGGTGGTCGCGGCGTCTGCGGCGCCGGCGACGCAGTCGCGCGCCGGGATCGTCGACAGGTCAGCTGGCGCGGCGGCGCGCCGTTAGTGCGTCGGCCCGGCCGCCGCTCGGCGACTGGAAGAAACGATTCTCACCGCACGTTTATTTACATTTCAAATGTCATCGACGGCGCAGTTTATCACAATCTATGCTATTTAGATGGTAACGGGAGGCGGGCGCATTTCCATACGAGGTTTCGGTGAGCGAGCTGCGGTGGGCACGCCGGCCGACGGAGGTCG